ACTTGGTAAGGTGCCTCTCCGGGTCCCCCTGTCCTTCATACTTGGGGATCTTAAGGGGCATGAAATTCGCAGGCATTGGGAAGCTTCAAATTTCCTTTGAGAAATGGAGGTTATCATCATCGTCGTCAATTTCATAGGATCGATAAGGCCTATCTGACCCTTCATCATCTTGAATGTTTTGGGGAGGTGGGGGTGCTTCTCCTCGACTGTCCCAATCAACTAAGTCCCTTCTCTCCTTCCTATTTCTAGGAGAAGGAGGTGCTTGTTCTTGCCAAACTGATCTTCGCACTAAGCGGACCCTATTACTAAGGTCCTGCCCTATTCGGTCGAAGACATTGACTGACTTTTGTGCTTCATATTCTTGAGGAAAATTGTCCCCCTTTTGTGGTTTTGTTGGTCGGTTCCCTTGCACATAGGATGTGGCTTCCACACCCACTTCTCTTTCGAGGGGACGTTCTCTGTGCTGGCTCACATGGCCTCGGGAACGAGATGCAGGGACTTCCTGAACTAGGTAAGATCCTTGGGGCATTTGAGAGCCCTGGTGACCTCGGACTTGCATGAGAAGTTAATGCATCGCTATATTCTGGGCTGCGATGTCTCTCATGCCCACAACTATTTGAGCCATTCCTTTAGTGAGCATGGCTGTTCTTTCACCTCGACGACGTCGATTATGGGGTCTTTGGTGAGTGACATTGTTATGGAGCACCTCTTCTTCAGAGGCATCTCTCATAGGGTTCTCATCTTCATGGCTAGAACTCATCTTATCTCCTTTTTCAAGGATGATAAGAACTTGGATTATAACTCGACTTTGCTCTTTTTCAAGAACGTGTCCTTTTCAGGGTAAGTCACTAGTTTTTTGGTGGTTTCTCCGATGGAGAATACAGAACTTTGGACGGGAAGTTTCCACAGACGACGCCAAATTGGACCCTCCACATGGCCAATCGATAGCTACTCCACGTAATCCTTCCTGCGCACAATCTATGCACGGTCAGATGCACACGGTCGGAACCAGCGGGGGCGACGACGGTGACCGCATACACTCCGACGGTCAAGTTAGCTCCTGGTGATCGGAACAATGCAAAGGTTGTGCAAAAAGGGTGGGGAAGAGAATATATATTTGCTTGTTATGGAGAGCTAAGTTGTAAGAGTTTTATTACCTTTGCCACTTGTCAAACCTTGGGTATTTATAGGTGAGGAGAATCTTCGGATGTGGGACACAAGTATGCATCTGATGGTGTGAGGCGTCTGCTCATAAACGTCAATCAACCGCGTCTATAGAGTGGTCGGGTAATTACTTCTCCCGAGTTGAGTTGACATAAAGTTGATACGTCACATCAACTAGGCTCATGGAGACGTTAAATCAATTAAACCTTGGCGGCAGAAAGGATCTTGACACAGATCTCTTTCTGAAATTGACGGTGGATCCTCTGACAGAGAACCTCGAAATGTATTGCACCTCGGCTTCAGGGGCGAGGATGCTTCGATCGTTTCAGTAGATTGTCTGTGCATCGCAGTTCGTTAGTAGATCAACAACATTGGTGGTGGCTTCACTTCGGAACCACTTTGAATGGGTGTTGAACACCTCGGATAACGCGGTGGTAGACTTTTCGAAGTGGTTCAGATAGGGGTATAACAATATCCTTATTATTATTTTCAGATTTCCTAACTACCGTTACATTCTCTAAAAATTCCACATCTCTTGATTCTATTATGACATCCGTTTTGAGACTTAATAATCAATAGGCTTTACTATTGAGAGCATATCCTACAAAAGCACATTTGATACCTCTAGGACCTAACTTGGTTCTCTTAGGTTCCATATTTTTACAATAGGCAAGGCACCCCCACACTTTAATATAACTAATATTTGGTTTTCTATTTTTTCAAATTTCATATGGAGAAATTTTATTCTTTTTCATAGGAATCCTATTTGTTATATGGCAAGCACTAAGTAAGGCTTCACCCCATAGGTTAAAGAGTAATTTAGAATTTAACAACATTGCATTTATCATTTCCAAAAGAGTTCTATTCTTTCTAGGGCTTCTGCTAATCCATTTTGTTCTGGTGTTTTAGGTGCAGAAATTTGATGTATTATTCCCTTTTGTTCACAAAACATGTTAAATTCATTAGAAAAATATTTCCCACCTCTATCACTTCTTAAAATTGTTAATTTTCTTCCTAATTGATTTTCAACTTCAATCTTATAAGTCTTAAAGGCACTAAAGGCTTCATCCTTATGTTTTAATAAGTACACACAGGTATATCTAGAACAATCATCAATAAAAGTAGTAAAATATCTATTACCGCCTCTAGTTAACATTCTATTCAATTCACATATGTCGAAATGAACAAGTTTAAGTAATCTTCTTGTTCTTACTACGCTATGAAATGACTTCTTAATCATTTTTTATTTAAGACATGTTTCACATTTTTCCAAGATGTCAATATCACATTTTATTAATCAACATTTAATCATTCTGTTCATAGTATTAACTCCTATATGTGCTAATCTACCATGCCATAAATCAAATGAATCAGTAACATAAGCAAAAAATTTAATTTTATTTGAGTTATCATCAATAGTACATAGTTTGACCATTCCTTCGATGGAATAGCCATTTCCAACAAAGTGCCATTATGGATTAATACAAGCTTTCCAGATTCAAAAAATAGATTTAATTCTAGGTTTTCCCAAAAGTACACCACTTGCTAAGTTTCTATTCATTTCCGGTACATGCAAGACATTTGTCAAAGTGATTTTCTTTCCCGAAGAGAAAATGAGTTCCACATTTCCTTTGCCAATCACTTTTGATCTTCCTTCATTTCCCATTTGTATTTCTTGATTGTCTTTAATGTCATGATAAGTTTTGAAGAGAGACTTATCATAACATACATGGATTGTAGCGCATGTATCGTACCACTAGCTCGGAACTTTGCCTTGGATTGCATTAATTTCGCTCACCGTGGCAATAATCTCATCAATGGAGTTCACTTGTCCTTCTTTCTTTTGTTATTTCCTATGTCTACAATCCTTATCATAGTGATCCAATTTTTCACAAGCATAGCAAGGTTCTTTGGCTTTGTTTTTAAACTTTCCTTGATCCTTTCTAGGACCAAGAAATTTTCCTTTCTTTTTAAATTTGTTGGAGTTGTCCACATTGTCCGCGGCATTAGCCTTTGAAGAGCCATCATAAGAATTTTCAATTTTATCTCTTGTCCTTGATTCTTCCTCAATATGAAGATGTTTTTGTATATCTTCCAAAGAAAAATCTTCGAAATTGTGAAGAATCTTCTTCCTATATCCTTTTCAAGAACTGGTAAGTTTACCAATAATTACTCCCACTCGGAAAGTTTCGAGAAGTTCGATTTTCACCGCTTTCAATTTGTTTACAATTATTTGTAACTCATGTACTTGAGGCAATAATGGTATATTATCCAAAAATTTGAAATCAAAATACTTAGATATTAAGAACTTTTTGATACCTTCCTCCTCGGCTTTGTATTTACTTTTTAGTGCATACCAGATTTCTTTTGCCGATGTAGTGTTAGTGTAGAGATCATAGAGGCGATCGGATAATGCATTTAGGATATGGCCACGACATATCAATTCGTCATCTTCCCGTTTCTTCCTTTCTACGCGAATTTCTTCGGTATCCTTGTCAGTTGCATCGGGAATGGGCTCCAGTTTTGGATCAAGCACGTAGAAAATTTTCAAGACCGTTAACAGAAATTTAAGTTTGTCTTGTCATCTTGTAAAATTTGCGCCATCGAATCTGTCAAGCGTACCATGTCTTGATTCATCATTTTGATAGTAGTAAGTGTAGATTCCGTCTCCATTGCAATAATAGTAATCAAATAATGTTTGAGATTGTTGAGAAAATAATGGCAATGGAAAAGAAAATTATAAAAGTATATCAATGAAGGCTTGAACACGAAATTAATCTCACTGTCTCAAACGTTATTTGCCCCCTTTCCAATGTCTTTTTAAGGATTTTCGGCAAATAGTTTGTAGGATCAAACAAGCCTTGAAGAGAAGAACACCAAAAAGCAAAAGTGTATCTTCACAATGAACAAGTGAAAAGAAATGAATTATGTTATAATTTCCTCTCAATTTTGGAAGAATAATTTTGGGGATAAATTTCAATGGAATTCTATATTATTTCTTGACTTTGGATCACCTATTTACAGGTCTTGACAAGTTCTCACGAAATGGTGTAAAATAAGGATGAAAAGCCACCAATTTTAAATAAAAAAGGGTCAAAATCCGACCCAACGGTCATATATTGTCAACAACCATGCTGTCGCCTTCTTTTTTTCTTCGTCTTCATTTTGAACAACAAATAAATTTTCAACAAAACTTTATGTACATGTAGCACATCTACTTAAATGTAACTATTCTTTGTCCATGGATACGATTCGAATTATATGTATCTTGCAAAGACACGGAGGCATCATTTTGCATGCATGCCAATGTCTTGTCATGTAAATTCAAACCTTCTGTCTCATGAAACAACATAGGAGCAAACAAAATATATGGATTATGGCAGTTAGCCCATTATCCGTCATAGAAGCAAATAACAATGGAAGTATTCAATGTATCCAAGTTAGGTTTTATGAATTGTGTGTGTGAGTTTCGATGTTTTATGAAAAGATTCCATAGTGCAGACTGGCAAACACTATTTTAAAACATAAAGGTTTGCACTTCACTAGGCAACGCTAAATATTTATTGACTCCTCATATGGTCGGTCAATTTTATTTATAATTTAAGACTTTAGTTTTCGTATGATATAGGAAAAATAATTCAAACTAGTTATGTATTAAATATTAAAATAAAGTAGAATTGAGCTTTAAGAATGGATAATGTTATTCGCAGTAGATCACTACGATAGTCTTTTTAAGTGACATAAATATAATAAGCGATTATTTGATGCACGAGACAATAAAAAACTCGCCATGTTACTCTTTAGAAATAAATAAAAGGGAGAAGTTGGGGCTTATACTTCAGCTCTTCCCCAAGATGGATAGTGAAAGAGAATCGGTATTGCCGCCTCATGTACTCATATTCCCCTTACCAATTCAAGGGCCAGTCAACTGTATGCTAAAACTTGCAGAGCTCTTCTGTATTAATGGTCTGAAAGTAACTTTCCTAAACTCACAACACATCCAACGTTGTTTATCAAGCTGCACTAATACTGAATCATACTTTCAACGCTATCCCAATTTTCGATTTGAAACCGTGCCGGATGGCCTTCCCGAAGACAATCCCCGCACAGTCAATGAATTTTTCGAGATGTTGGATTCTATGAAAGCTGTGGGTGTGCCACTATTTCGGGAAATGGTAACTTCTGGTCCTTATGGTCCCAACTCTGAGAACCCAATCACTTGCATGGTGGCCGATGGAGCATTCTGCTTTGCAGTTGATATTGCTAAACAGATTGGGGTTCCGCTCCTTTATTTCGATACTATTAGCCCTTGTTGTCTATGGACTTATCTCTGCCTTCCCAAACTCATTGAAGCTGACGAGTTTCCTTTCAAAGGTGAGTTGTGCCTACTCTTTCAAGGGAAGTCAAAACCAAAATTAACTTCTTTCTAACCAAGTTGGATAACTATGTTTATGATGGTTTGGCACAGGGGATAACTTGGACAAGATTGTTGTTAATGCACCAGGAAAGGAAGGTTTTCTAAGGCGCCGGGATCTTCCTGGCTTTTACCGTACCAAGGACCTTAATGATCCCGATATACAATCAGTTCTAAAGGAGAACAGGAACCTTTCCTTGGCCCAAGGGCTGATTTTGAATACATTTGAGGAACTTGATGCTCCCATATTATCAGAAATGTCCAAAGTCTGTCCAAAATTCTATGCTGTAGGGCCGCTCCACACTCACGTGAAAACTAGACTCGGGACGGGAACCACGTCAAATAGTATTCTGAAAGAAGACAGGAGTTGCATCCCCTGGCTTGATATGCAACCCCTCAAATCTGTTTTGTTCGTTAGCATTGGAAATCTAGCAGTCATGACCAACGAACAACTCATGGAAATCTGGTATGGTTTGGTGAACAGTGGAACAAGATTTTTATGGGTCCGAAGGCCGGGTTCAATCGCTGGATTGGAAAAAGAATTTGAGATTTCCATGGACTCCTCTCAAGCTACAAAAGAGAGAGGCTATATCGTGAGTTGGGCTCCACAAGAGGAGGTCTTAGCCCACCCTGCAATTGGAGGGTTTTTGACCCATAGTGGATGGAACTCAACATTAGAAAGTATAGTGGAGGGGAAGCCCATGATATGCTGGCCATATAATGTTGACCAGCAAGTGAATAGTAGGTATGTGGGAGAGTTTTGGAAGCTTGGTTTGGACATGAAAGATATATGCGACAGAGTGACAGTTGAAGGGATGATCAAGGAGCTTATGGAATTGAAGAAGGACGAATTCTGGCAAAGGGCTGATCACTTAGCCAACATTGCAAAGGCAAGTGTGCGTGAAGGTGGGAGTTCGTACAAAAATCTGGACCAACTGATCCAAGAAATCAAGTCGACGACGTTCTCAACATTGCAGGGTTAGTTTTAGTCACTACATACTCCATCTTCAGTCATTTCTTCTCTTGAGTGTGTTACTGGCTAGACGGAGACTGTTGATTGTCAAATGTTTCCCTGAAATTTTTCTTGATTATGAAAAAGATTGATCTCTTTCTTTGTTATGCTTTGATGGACTTCCAAGTGTTTAATGAATGGCCCGTTACTCTTATGTCGATTCAAGCTTCAGCCACAACCCAAAACTAATTTATCTCGGTTCCATGTTTAGTCCATTTCATATGAGAAATGTTATCGATCTTTGTCAATGAGCAAAATTGTATTGAAATTATTTAAATAGTATAGTGTTATCCCCCCCTATTTGTTGTGATGGCTTCGGCATAGGCGGTGTCTTGCCCTATATCAATGCCTTAGCGTGGATGAGTCGTATCTGTGCGCATTTGGTAAGGCAGTGAGTTGATAATACACTGAAGCGGCATGTAACTGACGGTTTTGGGCATGTTGGGTTTGAATTTTGAAAGGATGTTTTATTTGAATTTATGCCCCGTTTGGTGCACATTATTTGGGAAAATAATTCATTTTTTCCATCAAATCAGTCTACAATATTTGACTTAAACACTCTAAGGTAGGACCCATGATGTAATGTTTAAAAAGCATTTTTCCACTTCACAAGTCCTTCGATTTAAAATTAAGACATCAATTATCTTATATATAGAATATAATATAATCGGGGACAGTTCGATCAATGAGAATTAGGCCAAGAATAGAGAAGTTTCAGTTCGTGATGCACTTGAGGAACATGTGAAATGTGGTTCTATAACATTGTTAGAGCGGATTGACCCAAGGCTTGGTTTTGGAGAGACAATGCACACAAAAATCAAGTCCATCGGTTAATTGAAAATGATTTAAGCAATATGTGACTCGATAAGAAAATGTGCGGAGCATAAAGATGTCAGAGTTGAGGCACCACATTTCTATTCGAGCACAAAAGAATATGCAAGGGATTGTGACTAAGTTATAAATTTATCAAACTTAAGGTATAACAAATTTACAAAATTTCGAGCCAATGGCACTAAACTTGGCAGATGATAACACTGTGATTGGAGCAAATGAAGCATTATACTTTGACTTTTACACGGTGCTCCCATCTTCTTGTGGAGACATTTATTTTTATTGCACCTTTAACTGGAGGTCAGGTTGAGCCTCATCTTAACTTTGTATTATGTTTTATTTTCATTATTGATAAATCATGTCTTATATAGTCGTCGTACAAAATAAAACTTATCGCCAAACAAAATAAATTGTTTAGGAAATTTTAAACATTCCATAATATAAGTTTCTAATGTATCTAATTACCATAAGCAAAAAGGGTAGTTAAAAAAAAAAAAAAAAAAAAAAAAAAAAAAAAAAAAAAAAAAAAAAAAAAAAAAAAAAAAACCTGAATTTAACATAAGAATACTAAAAATCATAATGCTACAAAAGTAATCCTTAATTTCCATATGAGGTTGCCTCTCTCAAGAAGTAGAAACAAGATCCGTCACACTAGGCGCCGCCTAGACTCAAGGCTAGACAACTTAGTAGTTGACTGGCCCAGGTGAGCTTTATCTATTTAATTATTTTTCATTTTTAAAAATAGAACTTAGCAGTTGACTGCCCTGGGTGAGCTTTATCTAATTATTTTTCTTTTTTAAAATTTTTTTTTTTTAATTTAGTTTATTAATTTTTTATTTTTTTCTTCTTCTTGTTTTTAAAGACTTTTATTTGAATTTAGTTTCAAATTTTTAATGACTTTATCTGTACAAAGTAAACGATGAGTTTATCCGATAAAAATAAAATTTAAGTTACGATGATATCTATAGTATGCAATTATGATTTTGTGATTTATCGTTTTGTTGAGAATTTCGAAAGCATGTATAAAGTTCCAATAAGACTTATTGCCACAAAACGTTTCCACGTTTGACTTTTAGTGTGCAAACCATTCCTACGCTTCAATTTTTTGCATTTTTAAGCCTATTTTCACTTTTCATTACAGAAAACATCATTTCTCATCCATTTTCTCAATAAAAATCCGTGAAATAACAAACATATCCTCTTATTTAAATAAAATAAAAAGAAAAGAAAAGAAAAATAAAGAATTAATTGTAACCAAAGGTCCAAATTTTTCAAAAAATTACAAATAAATACCAAAACCAATAAAAATAGTAATTTATATTTTACTATTAATTAAAATAGTAAATTTTTGTTTTATATAATAAAACAATTAAAATAAAGTAATTAAATCAAAAATTAAAAAACCCAAACCCAAATCAAAAGTTGCAGCCGTTCGATTCCTTTTTTTTTTTTTTCAAAATGCATTTTTCTTTCTTTTCTTTTCAATCATATATTCTTCATTAAAATAATATTACACGTAAATCAAAAACTTTTTAACCACACATTCTCCATTAATTTATAAAATTTTCATCAATTTACTATTCTAAAATTCATTTTTTCTTAAGAATGGGTGTCAAACACCATCTAAGTTTAATTACAATTTCAACATTTTAAAGAGAACAAAATGATTATTTTATATATTTGCATATAAGTCAATTAAAATAATATAAATAAAATTTTTGAATCTTCTTCCCCAATTACCCCCACCCCCACCCCTACCCCTACTCCTGACCTTGCCGCCAAAACCAGTAACTTCTTGATTACCACTTGACACTTACATTTTGACCACCATCGACTCTAAACCGTCGACATCTTCTTTTAGGTAAAAATCAACTCTAAACAATTTCCTTACCATCATGTCGACAACCATTGACACCTCCAAATTTTTAGCCAATCCTCGCACAAATGCCTAGCTTTGTCGTTGCCCTCCAAATCACAAACACTAAATTCTTCAACCCCAGCCTTCGACATTACCACCCAAATCACACATCTCATCTCATCTTCATGAAATTGATCGCCCGATTTTGCGACACTATCATTATCGCTATTCACATTATCATGACCACCATCGTGGCGGTTTTCTTCTCCGCACCAACCCAGAATCATCTTATCCCTAATTAAAGCCCTAGTATAGTTTTTTTCTCCATACCAACCGATGCTGAAAATACAGAATGTGGGCAAAGACTGAGTAATGTTCTCATCCGCAAATAATTATAATAGTTGTCTAAGTTAAATTAGTAATTGATTTCCCGATGAGTGGTGAGTGTCCCAATGGACAGTGATGGTGGGTAAAGAAGTTTTTGGTTTTGGGGGTGGGGTGTTTGGGGAAGAAGATTCAATTACTTGGTTGTGGGTGTGAGTGGGGGGGGAAAAGATGATGTTATTTTTTTATTTTTTAGTTTTGATTTTAATTATTTGTTTGGGAATCATTTGTAATTTTTTTTTAAAAAAAAAAATTTAGCCCTATTGTTGCGATTAATTCTTTATATTTTTTTCTTTTTGTTTTATTTAAATAAAATGATATATTTGTCATTCCATGAATTTTTATTAAGAAAATGGATGAAAATTATGTTTTCCGTAATGAGACGTGGAAATAAGGGTGAAAATGCAAAAAATTGAAACGGAGGGACGTTTTGCACACTAAAAGCCAAATATAGGGAAGTTTTGTGCTAATAAGTCTTCCTATAAATATGTTAAGTAAAAATTGCCTAGTTGAAAGTTGAAAGTTGAAACTATGAAAAATAATGTAACTTTTGTATTTCGAAAACTTAAAAATTATATAATTAACTAATTGTAGGAATTATTAAGTAAATATAGTATTGTATAATTTTAGATGTTTGATATGTATTATTTTGATTATTAAATAATTTTTAGAATGATAGTATTTGAAATAATAATAATAAACTTGAAACTTGACCTCAATGCCTAATCATACTTCACGTTTTGTAGAATACCGGTTGAAAGTTATACAATTCTTTTCTTTTCTTACGGCTTACAAAGATAGAGCGACGTACGTAACAAAGAAAATTTACTTATGAACCCTAACAAATAACAAGGGCTACTCTTGTCACGTCGGCTAAAAAGTAATGGAATCGTACTTTGTTTTTCCAAAAAAAAAAAAAAAAGAGGAGATTTTATTAGATAGAAATTATTTTACTTTATCTCAAATTAAATATAAATGCATTTACATCTAAATCAATTTACAAATAAATGTAGGGATGATAGCCGCCAAACCTTTCTTCTTCGTTTTTTATTCTTTTCTTTTTTTCAATCTTTACTCAAACATTTGATTGTACCACCCACAATCCCTAACCTTTAATTTTATTACAGCTAGAGAACAAATAAATGATTCTGTCCATGTAAGGCTGAGTAAAAATCAATCCAAATCGTTTGATTCGATCGACCCAACACAAATCGACCAATTGGGTCGGGTTGAGTTAGATTGAGTTGAGTCTCGGGTTATAAATTAAAACCCACCCCAACCTGATGAATTTTTTAAAATTCAATGGCTAAAACTCAACATTTAAAATTTTCGTGAGCAATCGAAGACATGAACCTAAGTTCAGTGACCAAAACTCGACATTTTAAATTTCAGTGACCAATCAAAGATATCAACCTAAGTTCACTGACCATTGGAACAATAAAACAAAATAAAAACATCTATTTGGAACAATAAATAAAATTGGAAAATTTTTAAATTAGGTAATCTATCGACATGTTTACGATTTTATAGCAAATATAGCAGAGATAGTGCCAATTTCTCGTTGGCCTAATTATTTAGGAAGTCGTGCTTGCTATACACTTGTGTACAGCATCCATGACATCCCCTCACATGAGGGGTTGTAAGAAGAGTTGTACATTTAGAATAACTCTTATTTAGTAGACGAAATGGTCCAAATTTCTTAGTCAAATTATGTGGGGCCCATATTATTTATTTAATGTTTAAAATAAAAATTACGTATCGCAACGGACGTGGACAAAAGAATTTAATGATAGTGGCTTCCTTAAAAAGCCTATTTTGCCCTTAAAGTGCTTGGGAAAGGTGTTGAAATGGGAAATGAATGGAGAGTTGCAAAACAGTAATTTTGCTGATCACTTCGAGGTTAAATATGATAATTTGCACCAAAATAAAATAAAATAAAATGTAGAGGGTGTTTGAGCCCCATTTTTATGAAAACGTATTTTAGAACAGTAGATTGATGTGAAATGTATAATTAAAAAACAAGATTTTTTTTTTGATTTACATGTATTATTATTTTAATGAAAAATGTGTGGTTGAAAATATGAGAGAAAAATATATTATGTAAGAAATGAGAATTAAACAGAGCCTTAATTGTACTTAATGATTGAAATACAAATATATAACAAAAAGAGAGTGAAAAAGTTT